ACCCATCACCCTACCCGTCACCCTACCCCCCAGCCTTACTGCAGCCCCACAAACCCCTCAACCTGCAACCTACTGTAACGCCCTACAAACCGGCCTAGTTTTAAATAAATAAATATTATTTATTTATTGAGACTCATTGTTTTAAATACTAAATATTGAGATTTTGATCTCGTTAAATGGACTTCAAAAGTTAATGTTGTTTTAAATATAAAAAGATGTTTTAATAACGGACCTCTCAACATTAACTAAATAAATTAATTAATGATTGGGGTGGACCCGGAAGTTTGAAAACAAAGTTCTTAGAAAAATTATTTGAACATGTCATTAAATTCGTTTTGACTGTCTGATTTCGAAAACACAAGCGGATCTCAATTCGGACCCATTCGGGGGGGGGGGGGAAAGCGTGTACCATTCAGGTCAGATTTTACATAACGGAGTAAATAAATATTTGTAACTCCCCATTTAATCATTCCACACGCCACCACCACCCATTCATTTTCTTCATCTTAATTCTCCATTATTATTCATTACTCATCCACCATTATATTAGTCTCTTCCCCTCACCTCCTCCACCACATTTGTAACTCCCCTCACACACTCAACCCTCCCCTTTTCCTTCTCTTGTTCGGCCAACCAAGGCAGCCAGGCGAGGAGAGATTCCAGCAGGTGGACGGGGAGGTAGAGGAAGGAAGTTCACGCAAGAAGTTCGTCCGATCGTTGTGGTCGTTCAACGTTGTCAACCATTTGCTCATCACATTTCATCGTTTCGTAACCCCGTCATTTAGAGGTGAGTAGTTGTCCCCTCTAATTCTAGAACATCAAGTTATAATCTATGTTGTTATATTCATAGGAATATCGTACGCAACCTACGTAGAATTAATGCATGTTCGTAGGTTAGCCATCAAAACATTCACTACGTAAAACTTGTATGGCCTAGGAATCAGTAGGAATATATTTATCAATGTTTACATTATTGTTATAAAAAGAATCAAGGTGTTAAGTTTGCTAAACGGATCAAAACGGAGACTAAGACAGAAAACTGTCATCGGGACGGTCGACCGCCGCCAGAGACGGTGGACCATTTCCCTCAGCCATCCTGACGGTCACCACCGTGAAGGTCGACCGCCAGCCTCGACGGAAGACCACGGTGGACCGTTTGTGACCCAGACCCCAGACCGTAGCCCACGGTCGACCGCCGGTAGGGAACGGTCGACCGTTTCGCGGGCAGAATTTCGGACAGTTTGTAGAACGAGCCCCGTTGACCATTTCGACTCAGGATCTGATTGTGTGTTCGCATTAAATGTTAATCTTCATTATGTACGTTATTTATATGATATATTATTGGCATCAAGCATTCATCATGTCCAATCTGAACACATGTATTCATCACGTTCATCCTAGACGCATGTCCTAGGTTTTCATCATGTGCATACTGTTGTAGGGAGGACTTTGTGTGCCTACTACAGCGGGCCCGTCCAGGAACCCTCGGGATCCAACGGGTTTTCATCAAGTGGGCTTTGTGTACGTACATAGTAGTCAGGTTACGGCTACTACCCGGGTTTTGCTAGTTCACTTGCGACATTTGTCGAGCCCGGGTCATTACCGGAGTGCAGGGGTGATCCTGTCAAGTGAGACTAAGTCAGGGGTGTCCCTAATAGCATAAGTCATGCATCAAGTCATATTGTCATCATGTATGTTCCATGTCACGTCAACATTCAGTGTGGTCGTCAACATCATGTATGTTCCCCATCATGTTCGTATTCAATGTGGTAGTACATCATTTTGTTATACGTAATAGAATCGCAACAGGTGTAAATTAATCAGTTAGTAATTCCGTGCTGCACGGAATCCCAATCCCGGCCACCTGAACGTGAGGCGGCTCAAGGGACCCTTGCGAACCAGTGGCGCGCCCTGTCGGAAAGGGCCCACCGGTTTGGGGGTGGAAACCTAGTGGGCCCATGGGCTGAGCTGAAGAAGAAGTTCCCCTGCCAAAGAGAGGAGTGTGAGGGACGCCGGGGATAAGGCCGGACACCCTCAGGGTCCCCGGAGGGAAGTCGTAGAGGCCATCATCTTCGGAGACGTCCTCAACCACCACCTCTTCCGAAAGGGGAGGTTGGTCGGCAAACGCCAGAGATAGGGCCCCCGTCGCGGTCCCTACTTCCTCGCCCTCGGTGTCCTCCTCCGGGGAAGGATCCCTTCGAGAAGATCGCCGACGGAGTCGAGTGCTCCTGAAAGGAAGAACCCAAGAGGAGGTTGTGTCTCCCGATGGCTCTTGAGGAGGAATATTGGGAGACACCCAGAATCCAAGACCCCGAAAATATGAGTCCTTGAGGAGGAGCGCGCGGGGGACCGGATGGCCGTTCTTGCGAAGAAGACGGAAGACCCCCTCGAGCTCCGAGTCGCGAGGGGGAAAAAGGTGAGAAGGGAACTTGTCTTCCTTCTTCCGCCACATGTTGGGGAAGGGAAGATCTTCGGGAACCACCACCACGAAGAAGCGGCGGAACCAATCGTCAAGTTTGTCGACCGGGCTATCCAAAAACTGCATATCGGTCCGGGCCGTGAAGCTCACGAACCCCCGGCCCAACTCGCCATCATACTTGTGGGGACGGAAGAAAGAGAGGAAGAGCTTCAGAGTGGGTTGGATGCCTCTCTTGTGACACCGCGCCAAGAAGCCAAAAAGACTCTCGTGGGAGTTTGAGGAAATCTGACCGGGAGGTATGGCGTAGCGGTTGCAAAGTTCGATCAAGAGGGGATGGAGAGGAAAGCGGCATCCCATCCTCACCGAGTCGTAGTGGACGACCAGTCGGCGGGAGGTGTCAGGATTGCGCTCCAAAGTAGTACCTGTGGCTTCCTGGACGCCATAATCAGGAGGAATGACTCCCCTCATCTCCCCCAATTGCGCAGGAGTGATGGAGGAGACATTCTCGTCCTCCTTGGATTTCTTACTGCCGTTGAAGATCTTGGAGACCTTGGAGATGGTCTTCTTCATGGTGAGAGAGAGTGAAAGTCTTGGGAAGGAGAGAGGGTAATTCGGCAGGGATAAGAGCAAGGGAAGTGGAGAGTTGTGTGTAAACATGAGGAAGGAGAGGGGAGAGGGACCGGTTTTATAGAGAAAGAGAAGAGGAAGAAGAAACGGCCCTCCCTCAATGCTCCTTTGCAACGGCAAGAATTTGAACGGCACCTGTTCAGAAACGGTCCAATGGCAGTGAAGGGACACATGGAAAAGGGAATTGCAACCTTGGACTCGGGTCAAGGGTACTAATTCCAAACGGTCCACTCTGCCGATTTCCCAGATCTGCGATCCTCTGTTGCTTTCCTTTTTTCTGTTACGGTCCCACAATCATAGATGAGTAGGGACCTTGAATTGTACGCAGTCAAACGGTCCAGTGCAGCAGTTAAGGGAATCAGAGGAACCGGTCAAAAGGGGTTGTAACGTTTGGGAATGTAGGCCATGGATATTTAAAGTGGCACGGACTCCCAACGGTCCATTCCCTAAATGTGTTTTTCCCATACACGCAGTCCACGCCCAATCTATTCCTCTGTCAACAATCCATCATTATTGATGTTCAGGGACTGCTCGCATGACCAGACAGCAGAAGGACAGACCAAGGGGCATGCAAAAAAAAAAAACTTTCCCAATAAGGCATGCAGGGAAGACTACAGTCAAAAAATTTTATTTTTTGACTTGTAAAAAAAGGGGCATGTGATGGGAACCAAGCCCATCGAGAGGAATGTGGCAAATTGGGCCTAAGCCCAATCGGGACCCATCCATCAAAAGGAGTGTCCGGCCCAGATAAAATATACTGGGCCGGTCAAAGGAAGGCTGTCTGTAAAGAAAGATAGGAAAAGGAAGAGAAGTGGGGCTTAAGAATGGGCTGAAGCCAGCCCATTAAGGGTGAGCTACCCACGAAGAGAGGAATCCTATGAGGAGTTTGGGGAGTCCCCCCTTTCATTTGAAGGAACAGGGACGAGGAGAAAGAGACGGGCGAAGGACAGGGAGCAAGAGATGGACAGAAGGCTTTGTCCTCCAGTGGATGGCCTCAAGTGGAGATACATTCCTCCCAGAGGATGCAGGCTGGCAGGAACATTCCCCCCTGGCCACTGCCATTATTGAAAGGAATAATGGAGGGAAGTGCCTATAAAAGAAAGGGAGACTAGAGGAGAAAGGATCATCTTGTAATAGAGAGAGAAAATACTTGAGTAAATAATAAAAGATATTCCGGCGATCCTTAAGCATATTCCGTTCCTAAGAGGACCGAATAAAGGAGAGGACCGCCGATTTGAGTTATTATCCAGTGAGCAGTGCTTCTATTACTATTAATTATTATTCTCGTATTATCTTTCAATATTATAAGGCCCGGATACCTATATTTGAACCTGGGCCGATCTACAGTCCTTGGGAAAATACTGGGTATCCATCAATAACAATAATAATAATACTAATTATCCCACTCTACTATCCATAACAGTTCATCATCTTCTATTCTACACCCCTAGCCTGCTGCTACTGTGATACACGCATACACCATGCCACCAGCTGCACAAGAAACAACCAAGAAGGGAAAAGGCTTGACTTTGAGCCTTAATCGTGACCACTCCTTAGCTTCCAGGTATCAACAATAATTCATTCATATTGATTCCAATTTTTTTTGCTTGTTTGGATTTTGTGGTTGCTTTGGTCTTGGCTTGGTAATGCCTTTAGGAATTGCAATTATGATGTTGGCTTTGGTTTTGTTTTTGAGATTTGAATTTTAGAATTGTTTTTGAATTGAATTCAGCTCCTTTCTTCAATTTGGGATTCATTTTTTTTTACAAATGGAGAGAGATGATGGGGTTTCTTGCAAAGTTTATTGTGGGATTTGTTATATTCGGTCTTTTCGGTCCATATAGGTTCGGTCCAATCCATATTGGTCCGGTTCGGTCCAAAACCAATTCCTAATTGGTCCGGTCTTTGGCCCGAATTTTCTTACACATTGGTCTTCAGTTCGGTCCGGTTCTGGACCGATGAACACCCCTAGTAGCAATAATTATATTTTTGAATACCGAACAATTGCAAGCTTATGTACTTACATGTCACTGCGTGCGTTGTTGTTTTAGGTTCAACAATGAAACTTTGAATTGACCTTAATTTGCAAAGAAAAACATGAACTTGTCTCACATTAAACCTATTTATTTATTATTTACAGAGTTAAACATCATTTACTTTTTTATTTTTATTAATCATTTGATAAAGGAATACATTCTTTTCACAACTAATTTGTAGGCTTTTGATGTTTTTAACTATGTAATTTTTATTATTTAGTTTTATTTTCTTATAAAATGATTTGCAAATATTTTCAATCAAACATCATAAACCGAAATAAATAATTTAAATTAGGACGTAAGGAGTAACACTTTTTCATTGTTTTCAATAGTTGTAAGGGCAATGGAAATGGTCCTTACGCCCGGGGCGTTTCTGTTGCTTTTAAAGCCTGATACGGACTCGTATCGGGATAGGGAAGACTCAGAGCGTCTTCGAGCTCTTGAGAATATGGGACGAGGAAGAAGAAGAAGAATTGAGGTGAAGAAGGAATCGGCGAACCGAGAGGGGAGAAGGAATTAGGGTTTTGAATTGTTTATTGATTGAATATTCTAAATGAGGTTACATCTCTATTTATAGGAGACAATGAAACCCTGGCTAAGCATAAACCTAACCTGACGGTTCAATAAAAGCGACGAGGGAAAGAACCGTAAAGAAACCTCGAAGGAGCTTATAATTTCGCTCACCTAATAAAACCTAAATTACAATAATAATAATAATAATAATAATAATAATAAAAATAATAATAATAATAATAATAATACTAATAATAATAATAATAATAATAATAATAATAATAATAATAATACTATTAAATATCCTACTCTACTATCCATAACACTCTCACTCCCTTAGAAAACCACCTTGTCCTCAAGGTGGAGGCTCCCACTCGTGCTTTTGGACTGAAGAGAACGTGTTGAACAAAACAAGACATCCACTTTTTGGCCAATTATCAAATGGCATGCCTCCTTGAATGTAATGAGAGAAATATGAGACAAAGCCATTTACGAGCCTAGTTGTTCCCATTGAAACCCAGCAACTAAAATCCATTTACAATCTGTCGGCGGCGCGTAGGCAGCAGTGATTGCAGAGCTAGGCACCGACACAGTAAATTGGAAACCCAGCAACTAAAATCCAGTGGCTTACACAACAAAAGTGATGCGGCAAGCAAGTGGATTTGCGGCTGATTGTGTTCGGCGGCAAAAGTAAAGCTCAGGCCTTGCGATCCGGGTTTTCTCTCGTCGGCGTGAAAATTTGCACAAACAGATCTGGCTGGACTTTTCTTGCCTCTTTTTTTGGTTTTTTTTTGGTTTGTTTTTGTGGTGTTCAAATCAACGAGAGCACCAATAAACACCACCCCTTGGGGCTTCGTCGGGGCTTCATCCCTTATGCATCAAAAGTTTAACGGAGAGAGAAGATAAATAGTGTGAGTCCCTCCATTAAAAAATAATTAAAAAATTACATTAATGCTATAAGACTAAAAAAATTTACTCTTTATATTCTTTCTTTTAAAAAAAATAAAACATACACAAACACAATTTTTTTACTCTATATTTTATTGTTTAATGTAATATTTTTTTGTTTAAACTTTTTTTTAGTAATGTAATTTTTTATTGTTTTTATAATTTAACTTACATTTTTATAGACTTTATTTTTTTTATTTAATGCACTTTTTTGGTTTGCTATGTCATTACAACCCGGATTTGAATAAAGGTATTTTTAGTCGCTCGAATAATTAGTAATTTATTCATAAAGTAATATAATGTTTTACTCCCTCTGTTCCCATTTTAAATTGCATGTTTTGCTTCCCAAAATAAGTTGGCAGTTTTCCTCCCAACATAAGTTGCCTGTTTTTCTTCCCAAAATAAGTTGTTTGTTTCATATTATCGTAAACTTTTAAGAGTAAAATACCTAAACTATCTCTAAAATAAATCACTCTTTTCCACCTTATCTTCTCATTCATTGTCACCCTCCTAAAAAATAATGACAATTTCGAAAAGTCAACCATTTTTTTCTTTCTTAAATGTCCCAAAATCGAAACGAGAAATTTAAAACAGGATGGAAGGAGTATATTTTTGTTGTTATTACTCAAATCTTATTTTGCTAATGTATTTTTATTGATTTTTTATCTTACTGATTTGTTTTATTTTAAACTCAATTAATTAATAAAATATTATTAATTTAATTATAGATTATGTATATTTAAAAATGTAAAAATAGAGGTTTGAGACCTCAATTTGAATCCTTAAGGTTTCAATATATGACAGAGTAGATTTGTAGTCAGAAACTTCATGACGATTACCAGCTCCAACAATAAAAAATAAAAATTATATATTAAAAATTACATCAAGAGTTGATGGGTAAGGTGTCTCCGGAAATCCGTAAAAAGGTTAAAAAAAATAGAGTCTATTACCCATCGATGGGAGAAAGTACCCATCGATGGGAAGAGGAGTTCTGAAAAAAAGAAGACTTCCCTCCCAGCGATGGTATAACCCACCCATTGCTGGTTCCCCCTGATTTCCAGAATTCTTCACTTCGAATCGTCCCTGCAAAAAAGAGTTAGAAAATCCTCCGACGCTCAAGTTAGTAAACGTTCAATAAGAGTGATGAAATGCACAAGTTAGATCATCGTGGAGTCAAGGATCCCGAGTTCACTACGAATGCGAAAGAACGACTCTTTCTCTAAAGGTTTTGTAAAAATGTCGGCTAATTGGTTGTGTGTTTCAACAAACTCAATTTCGACATCACCTTTGAGAACATGATCTCTAATGAAATGGTGCCTAATGTCAATGTGTTTCGTCCTTGAATGAAGAACGGGATTCTTCGTCAAGCTTATGGCGCTAATATTGTCACACCGAAGTGGAACGTGACTGATACTAAGGCCATAGTCCACAAGTTGTTGCTTCATCCAAAGAGTTTGAGCACAACAACTACCGGCGGCAACGTATTCCGCTTCGGTTGTGGATAACGCAACACTGACTTGTTTCTTGCTAAACCATGAAACTAAAGAGCTACCAAGTAAGTGGCAAGTCCCACTCGTACTTTTACGGTCCAATTTGCAACCGGCAAAGTCCNACGGGATTCTTCGTCAAGCTTATGGCGCTAGTATTGTCACACCGAAGTGGAACGTGACTGATACTAAGGCCATAGTCCACAAGTTGTTGCTTCATCCAAAGAGTTTGAGCACAACAACTACCGGCGGCAACGTATTCCGCTTCGGTTGTGGATAACGCAACACTGACTTGTTTCTTGCTAAACCATGAAACTAAAGAGCTACCAAGTAAGTGGCAAGTCCCACTCGTACTTTTACGGTCCAATTTGCAACCGGCAAAGTCCGAGTCGGAGTAACCAACGAGATGACACGAAGAGCCTTTTGGATACCACAGTCCAACGTTAACCGTGCCTACAAGGTATTTCATGATCCGTTTCACCGCTGTTGAGTGCGATTCCTTCGGACATGATTGATACCTTGCGCAAAGGCATACGCTAAACATGATATCCGGCCTACTAGCGGTAAGGTAGAGAAGGGATCCGATCATACCTCGATACTTTTTGACTTCAACTTCCTTACCTTTTTCGTCTTTGTCTAGATGGTCGGACGTGCTCATCGTGGTCGCCATTGCTTTGGCGTTTTCCATTTCGAATCGTTTTAGGAGCTCCTTGCAATATTTGGTTTGGCAAATGAACGTGCCATCTTTCATTTGCTTGACTTGGAGTCCCAAAAAGAATGTAAGCTCACCCATCATGGACATCTCAAATTCGCTTGTCATTAACGTAGAGAATTCCTTGCACAAAGACTCGTTAGTAGCACCGAATATAATATCGTCTACATAAACTTGAACCAAAAGGATGTTATTGTTTTTACTCTTGATAAAAAGTGTAGTGTCAACCTTTCCCCTTTGGAAACCACTCTCAAAAGAAATTTACTCAAACGTTCGTACCAGGCACGGGGTGCTTGTTTAAGACCGTAGAGTACTTTCTTGAGTTTGAAGACATGGTCGGGAAACTCAAAGTCTTCAAACCCCGGGGGCTGGTCAACATGCACTTCCTCTTGAATAAAACCATTGAGGAAGGCACTCTTAACATCCATTTGATAAAGTTTAAAATCCATAGACGAAGCAAAAGCAAGAAGTAAGCGTATAGCTTCTAAGCGTGCTACGGGTGCATATGTTTCTTCAAAATCAATGCCTTCTTCTTGATTGTAGCCTTTAGCTACGAGCCTAGCTTTGTTTCTAGTGATTATTCCATATTCATCAAGTTTGTTACGGAACACCCATTTCATACCAATAACCGTACGATCATCGGGTCTTGGCACCAATTCCCAAACGTCATTCCGTTTGAATTGGTTTAGCTCATCTTGCATAGCCAAGGTCCAATGTTCATCGTTTATTGCTTCGGAAATGGTTGTAGGTTCAATTTGAGAAACAAAGGCCATGTGTCCTACGGTGTCCCTGAGAGAGTTACGAGTACTTACCCCGCGGTTGATGCTACCGATTACCTAGTCAAGCGGATGGTTCTTGTTTGTTCTCCATGCAATAGGGAGCTCGGTTGCTTCTTCTTCGTGTTCCTCTTGTTCTTCTTCTTCCTCTTGATTTTCTTCATCACCTTGGTTTGTTGCTTGAGGTATCTCCTCAGTTTGTGGCTGCGTGTTGGTGTGTATTCCCGTGTTCTCCTCATCGTCATCAACGTGTATTCTCTCTAATGAATCTGCAAGATCATCACGAATATCCTTTCTCGCCAAGCGAGGATTATCTTTGGAAAATACAACGTGAGGGGACTCCTCGATAGTCAAGGTACGTTTATTGAAGACTCTATAGGCCTTGCTACGTAATGAGTAACCCAGAAAAATTCCTTCATCCGACTTGGCATCAAATTTGCGTAAATTGTCTTTTCCATTGTTGTGAATAAAACATTTGCAACCAAAGACTCGAAGATGGGAAAGGTTTGGCTTTCTCCCTTTGTATAGTTCATAGGGCGTTTTCATGAGTATCGGTCGAATGACGGCTCGGTTTAACACGTAGCTCGTGGTACTCACGGCATCCGCCCAAAAATACTTAGGGATTTTTGCCTCATTGATCATAGTTCTAGCCATCTCTTCGAGACATCTATTTTTACGTTCCACCACTCCATTTTGTTGTGGTGTACGTGGGGCTGAGAAGTTATGATCAATGCCAAGTTTGTCACACAAATCTGAAAACAGATTTCGTTCGAACTCTCCCCCATGGTCGCTTCTTATGGCTACTATGGTTGTTTCTTTTTCATTTTGAACTTTCTTTAAGAAATTTTTGAAAACGTGAAATGCCTCACTTTTATGAGTTAGAAACAGGGTCCATGTAAACCTAGAGTAGTCATCGACAATCACAAACGCAAAGTAATTGCCACAAAAACTTTTCGTTCTAGATGGACCAAAGAGATCCATGTGCAAAAGTTGAAGCGGTCTAGACGTTGAAACAACGTTCTTAGACTTAAACAAAGCCCGAACTTACTTCCCCTTTTGACATGCATCACATATGGTGTCTTTTTCAAACTTAAGTTTTGGAATGCCAATTACTAAGTCTTGTGAAACCAATTTGTTCAAATGTTCATATGAGCTACCCTTCTGTGCCATAGCCAAGTGTCTTCCTCTTTACTCATGAGGCACTTAGCAAAGCCGGAAGGAGATTTGTCTAAGTTAACCATATATATGTTGTCGATTCTATCACCACGTAGAATGACCTTATTGTCACTAAGGCGTTCTACAGTGCATGATTTTGAATCGAAGGTCACACACTTTCCCTTGTCACATAATTGACTTATGCTCAAGAGATTGTGTTTAAGACCTTTGACTAGCAAGACATTATCTATAGAGGAGTCATCGGACTTACCTACTGAACCGACGCTGATAATTTTTCCCTTGCTATTGTCTCCAAAGACTATGTTTCCTCCTTTAGCGGGTTTGATTTGTAGGAACTTGGATGCATCTCCGGTCATGTGCTTGGAGCATCCGCTATCAAGGTACCAAAGTACACTTGACGCCTTCAAGCATACCTACAAGAATGATTTAATAAGATTTAGGTACCCAAGTCTTTTTGGGTCCTTGAGTGTTAGGTGTAAAGTGGTAGTGTGTTTCATTTTGTGCCCAATGCCTATGCCTAGTAAAGCAAACGGGAGCTATATGTCCTACCCTATTGCAGTAGTGACAAACTACGTTTGGGTTGTGCATCCTCCTAGGTTGATAATAGTTGCTAGGGGGCCTAACCATATTCATCCTATTTTGAGAAAATGTTGGTTTTTGAAAATTCTCTCTTCTAGGTGTTCTAGCATTATTTTGTCTATTTGAAAAACTATTTTTATGCACAAAATCATTTTGATAATTTTTCCTAGGTTGTCTAGCATGCACATTTTCATTCCTAGATTTTTGTCTAGGTTGTCTAGTGTCCTTAGGTTGACTAGATTTTCTATTATCCTGATTTTTAACTTTCTTGCGTTGAGCCTTAGTAGCTAGGTTGTCTAGGTGTATGCTCAACGTTTTTATCCTTAGATTCATTTTTATCAAAACCTATTCCTTCCTTAGAAAAATGCATAGTGTCAAGAAGTAAGTTAAGATCTTTGTGTGGTGTATTGAATTTCTTAACCGTACTCTCAAGTTTTGCAACCTTTTCTTTTAAAGTTTTGCAAGATTCACATTCACTTGTAGAACTTTCTGGTTTGTCAGCGCTTCTTTTGCCATAAAATTTGTTTTCTTGTTTCAACCTTTCATTATCTTTTTCTAACTTTTCAAAATCATTTTCAAGAGTTGAAAGACGTTTCTTTAATAATTTGTTGGTTTTTGAAGCGCTAACAAATTCATCATAAAGCTCTCGAAGAGCTTCTTGCATCTCTTCAAAAGTGTAAGAGTCGGAAGAAGGGGTACATACCTCTTGTATTTCGTCGACGTGGTCTTCGTGTGCCACGAGACAGAGGTTGGCGGCTTCTTCCTCTTCTTGATCCGTTGACTCATCCCCGGAGTCGCCACCCCATGAGATGTAGGCGCGTTGCTTTTTGAAGCGAGGTTTGTCCTTGCCGCTTTTGCCTTTTGGACACCTCGGCTTGATGTGGCCTATCTCACCACAGCCATAGCACTTCGGGGGACCGTCGTGCTTTCTTCCTTTGTGCTCAAATTCCTTCTTCATAAATTTGTGGAATTTCATGATGATGAGTCCGAACTCGTTGTCATCATCGCTTGAGTCTTCTTCCACGGTCTCCTTGGTTGCTTTTAGCGTTATTCCCTTCTTCTTTTGTTCATCCAAAGATGGGGTTAGAATAGTAGATTCATAAGTTTTGAGATTACCTCTTAACCCGTCGATGGTGACATTTGAGACTCCGATGGATTCGTAGATTGCATCAGCCTTTGATCTCCATTCGGGTGTGAGACTCCGCAGGATTTTCCTCACAAGATCCTTGTTGGCGTAAGTCTTCTTGAGTGCATGAAGGTCGTTGATGATCTTTGAGAAACAATCGAACATATCATCGATCTTTTTGCCTTCTTTCATCCTAAACATTTTGTACTCCTGCGTTAGGAAGTCAATTTTGGCTTCCCGAACTTGGTCTGTACCTTCATATGTGACCTCCAGCTTGTCCCACATTTCTTTTACGGTTGTGCAGCAAGAGATCTTGCGATAACCATCGAGATTGACCGCACAGTACAGCATGTTGATTGCCTTGGCGTAGTTTTCCACCTTTTTGATGTCTTCGGCATCAAATTCGTCCTCGGTCTTTGGGACGAGTTTTTCACCAACCTTCTTCATTGGCGTTTCTTCGCCGTTTTTGATGACCAACCACAACTGGAAGTTGGTTGAGCGGATATAAATTCTCATATGCTCTTTCCAATAAGTGTAGTTGGTGCCATCAAAGAGCGGTGGCCTGGAAGTCGATTGGCCTTCTCCGATTCCTGCATAAAGATTTCTAGAAGAAGAACCCATGATCGCTTTACTCTCAAACGGTTAAGTTTGGACGCGAGTTAGGCTCTGATACCAATTGTTAGAATAAAGGACCAACGCTAGAGGGGAGGTGAATAGCGTTTGATCGTAGAAATCACAGGAATTAAAAATTTAAAAACGAAGTAAAGAGAGGAGTAAGAGGCACACCGAATTTACCCTGGTTCACCACAACTTGTGGCTAATCCAGCCTCCCGAGAGACTCTCTCGAGCTACACTACTATCTCGTTAAGCTTAATGGTGCTTAACAAACCCTTACAACTTGAGAATTCGAGTCACACGAACCTCAACGAATCCTTCAAAAGAAACAGCCCTTCCTTTGAATCAACCGAGAGAAATACTTTCTCTTAACGTGTCTAAGAACACAAATACACTCAAGAACGAGACTCTCTTATAGAGTAGATAATGAGTAAACTAAGTACGCTCAAGAACAACTCAACCTTCACACAAAATGGCTCTAAAAAGCTATGGAAAATGATGTTGTTTGAATGCAATGAAAGTAGGAGAATTGTGTAGTGAATTAGTGAGAAAAACAGACCCAAACACCCCTTTTTATAGTGCCAAAATAGGCTCCAAAGGACCAATGTATTAAAGGGGTGATTAGCTTGGTTTATGGGATTGAAAAGGTTTGGGATTTGCAGAATATTGGCTTCCCATCGATGTTTGGGACTTACCCATCGCTGGTAAGCCAATTTTCCTTCAGTTTTGAAGCCAACGGTTACCTACCCATCGATGGGTACAAGCTTCCCATCGCTGGGTGGGAGGTTGACTTCCAAACAAGGAAAGAATCAACCTTAAATGACTTCCAACGATCATGCCTTCCCATCGATGGTTTAACCTTACCATCGCTGGGTTCCCATCGATGGGATAGGCTTCCCATCGCTGGGCAAGGTTGTTCTGCCTTGTGTTAATTTCGCACCAAGGCTTTAACAGCGATGGGTAGAACTTCCCATCGCTGTTTGGCATGGTTCTGGAAGTTGGTTAGCTAAGGGACTGCTTACCCATCGATGGGAAGATCTTCCCATCGCTGGGTGGGTGGTTAGTCAAAAACCCATGGTTTTTGCCTTAACCACGGCCTAGCCAACCGATGCAAAGACCGACCGAAAAATCCAAAGTTCTCCAAAATAAAAACCAAGTGTTTAAAACACTTATTTGATGTATTTGGCTAAGAAATCAAGTGAGACACTTTAAAAACCATGTCATTTGAGTAAAAATCACGGCTAGCCAAGTTTACGACGTTTTGCGTGGTTTTTGTCAAACGACCAAAAGCGAAAGGTGGTTTTCAAAGTGTTTCTATTGGAAAACCGCTTAAACATGCCAAAGAGTGAAAACCAATCATAAAGAATTGAAAACCACTCGGTTGGTTCGGACGCCAAAAACCAATGCCGATAACCGAAAGCCGAATGCCGGTTTCTGAAACCCGAATGCTGGATGGCTTGGTTTTTGGTTTGGGCGAACACCAAGTGTTTTTAATGACTTAAACAAGTTTGAAAAACATTTTTATGATGTAAGAAATTCAATGAAAAATTTTAGCCTAAAGAGCCAGTGCGTGAGGGTTGGGTCGGTCTTGATCACAATTATGACCGACTGAACAATACTAAACACTGCGGTCTTCGTTCTTGGTTTCTTTTAGCTCTTGTTCTTTATCTTCGTTCTTCGCCTTGTATATACAATGTTTGTCTTGATCACGGCGGTTTGGCATTATCAAAACCTGTTACAAAAACGAACACGGCTTTAGTATGAAAACGTGACAAGCCCGTGTTTCAACAGCATATGCGTGATGGTTTAATTAATGGTTGGGAGGATTGTGTTACAAATTTCCAGATTCAATTTGCTCCACAATATAATTCGTGTTATATATGTTTTTAGAAGAAAGCAGAGAAGGCTAGATACACATTTGTCCACATGGGGGAAGATGCCACCACACTCTACGACCAGACCGTGGAGGACAAATTAAAGATTAGTCAAAGGAATCAAGCAAGGAATATCATATCAAAGAGGATCATTATAGATGGTCTGACATTGTTAGAGATGATGGTGGCGCTATTCTTGAAGATGATGAGGCTAATATTCAGAATGACGATCCATCTAACAAATCAGATTCTACACCCCTTGAATTCTGGGTGGCAACTACAGATAATAAGCAAGTGGAGAATCTCATTTTGTTTGACTACACCCTTAAATTGTTTGAAATTATCGATGTGCTCAAGACAGAGAAGCTGGTTTCACCTCTTTAAACTATATAATCTATGTGTCTTGTCTCATTTTTGCATCACTTTGCTGCAAGAGCCAAGATGGTTGAAGATTTAAAGAGTGGATTGTTCTTTTGGTTTAGCATTATCTCTCTAGTCTAGAAGCATGAGTGGGAGCCTCCAACTTGAGGGAAAGGTGGCTTTCTAAGGATGTGGGAATGATACAGAAGATGAATTATATTATTTCATTAGTTATTTATTAATTAGTAGTATTATATAGGTAATCATATTTAGGTTTTAGTATAAGTCCAATCCCATTAGATTAATTAAGATTTTCATATCTCAATATATTGTACTTCTATCTTTGTTATTATTCAAGCAATAAGAATATCATAACCCTAATATCTCGTCTTTTTTCCTGGAGCTCAGAAACACTCGAATTTTTTCTTCTTTCTTTGCCTCCCCTTCCTGAAATTTCCACAAACGCAACAATACTATCCCAGCGATATATATCACAGAATCAACACAAACAGAAACGTTGTTGGAAAGAGTGTTGTAGCTTGAGACAAGAACACACAAGATGCTACACCACCTTTCTCAATAGTCACACACACACAAACAGAAAAACACACAAGGACACAGTAATTTGTTTACGTAGTTCGTAGCAGTATCTCCTACATCTGCGAGGCCCACATCCGTGTAATAGCCTTTCCACTACATCAACGTAAGAATTTCACTATCAAACTTCAAAAAATCCTTCTAATGAATTTGACTTGTCTACTTACGTGATCAGACACACAACTCGGTTTGTGTCCCTTCAGGCCTATTACACCTTCTTCTTGTTCTACACGAAGGATGTGTCTCGGACCCTTGCTCAGCTAACCAGATCTCAATAGCTGAACACTTCTTAGAGAAGATCCATGATTGATCTTCTCATATAAGTCTCTCACATATGTGTGTTTCGATCAAGGCTACTGTGATCTCTCTTTCTCTCGTATGATTGATGAATGTTAATCTCCGCACACCTTCCATCCATGGGTGTCTCTTTTTATATAACTCACATAACCCTAGTGGAGGTAGTCTGGAACTCTATGGTGATAAGCTCGAGTACCAGACAATCCTAGCGTGCCATGACGTCTTCCGTAAGATGCATCTGCCATTCAACACAACACGTGGCCAGAAGATAGCCAATGAATGTAAATCCTCGTGATGCTGGACTCCTCACGAAACCCAAGGGATATATAAGTCCTATATATTTAGAATCCATGTCGTATAGGAACTCCAGAACATGAAACTTTGACAAGGATGACCGACAGGATGCTACAGCTCTTGACACAACACAGACATGCTAACACTACTGAAAAGGTTTTTGTCAAAAAAATTATGCCAACATAAACTACACCAGCGTAAGCTACTTGGAGCTAACAATATCCCCCTTTGGCAATTTTTTGAAAAAAACCACTATTCAGTCGTTTTTGAACCTCTTCTCCCCCTTTTTTGCATAAAAAATGCCAAAGAGCTTTTATTTGAAAGAAACAATGTTGGGGACAAAAGAGAAGAGTAATATTCAATACGGTCAAGAATAGGTACAAAAAGACATAAGAGGTGAGTATAAAAAGAGTTGTACCTACATAAGTCATCACCGTAGGAGCCAAGTACCCATGAAGGAGGGTAGGCCCGTGTGGAAGCATTTCTTCACAAAGCATGCATATGAGGTCAGAGCATAGTTGGAGCATAAAACAGAACTCAGTAGTAATGGCAATAAAACCATACCTCGAATAGGCAAGTCACAGATAAAAACCAACCAAACACACATGCAATGTTTTAGTACCATAAGAAACATGGCAGAACAACCCTTTTACCAAAAAAATGTCATGAGATAAAATCTTCAGAAAGTAATGTTTATTCGTGTGAACTAACATCCTCTACTAATCCCTGAGTGGCCTCCTGTGATTTTGCTGATGAAAACTCCTCCTCACTATCTCCTTGGCTGTCTTCCTCTATATCTGGGTGCTCAGCAGCTGCTATTTGCTTGTTCAGACTCTCCCTTGTATCTTTGCACTCCTCTCAGGGTGTGTGCAATTTGGATGAGCACATTCCTCCTTTCTGTAGATCTTTGAGCAATTTCATTGTGATAATCAGCATCCATCTGAAGGGCCTTGATCTCCTTATCCAGAAAGCTGAGCTGGTAATCTACTGAAGCTCGATTGTGTGGTTGCTGAGATGCTCCAACTGCTGCCATGTCATTGAAGTGGCTTCCTTCAAGATGTCTCACATCAACTTGAAACAAAGGGGGTATGGGTTCTTATTCTTCACTTTTCTCCTTCTCAAAGCCTTGGTCTTTCAGTATGCTGTAGACAAATAGTGGGTATGGAAGGCCATTTTTGTTCTTCTTGTACTTCTCCACTACAAATGTCATCACCTGATCAAACACAATCCTACCCAGATCAAAAGGAAGATTATTTTTTATTCTGTAGATTAGAGTGGCTATGCACAGGGGTACTGTGTTGGTGTGGGTGGTTGGCATCTAGTGAAAGGTAGCAATTCTGAGAAGGAGAGCATATGATCTTTTGAGTACTGAGGATGGCACTTTGGATTTTCCATGTTGGTAGTCCCTAAGTCCATTTGTAAGATCACTCCACACAGTTTCCTCGGTAATAGGAGTGATTGCAGGATTTGGGTTGGTACCAAGAAAAGTCTTTATCACAAAGGGTGAGAAATCATAGAGCTTTCCACGAACAAAAGCTTTATGGTAGGAGAGATCATCATCAGTAACACATGACTCAGGCAAGTTGCAGTAAAACTCTTGAATTACTTTCTTCACATATGAACCAGGTTGAGTGACAGATTTTAGAAATTTGTTTGATAGGAGTGTGGGCAAGAGGTTTGTTTTCTTGATAAAGTCAGAAAGGAGATACCTCTAAAGATCCCTCCATGCAGAAGCAGCCAAAACTCCAGCCAACTCCCACTGCCAACCTCCCAATTGATGAAGGTATGCCTCCCACTTCCTCAATTCCAAG